ATAGATAGATAGATAGATAGATAGATAGATAGATAGATAGATAGATAGATAGAGGGGTGTATGGGGATGGATAGATAGAGGGGCGTATGGAGATAGATAGATAGATAGATAGATAGATAGATAGATAGATAGATGGGGCGGATGGAGATAGATAGATAGATAGATGATGGGCACTATCTATATGGAGATAGATAGGCGTGTATGGGGATAAATGATAAATAGATGTTCTGACCCTGTAGACCCTTAGCCACAGGAATGATCCCATTGAAGCCAATAGGTGGATTTTTGCAGGCTCAGACCCATAAAGTTCATGCTTGTTTACTTGTCTGCGCCAGCTCTTTTTCGATTGGCGGCAGGCCCTGTGTTTTGTTTACAGTTCGCTCATGCAGCGATCGGATTGGCCAAACACCATTTCTCTTTGGTTCTTATGTCTACCAATCAGATTCTCTTTCTCCGACAATAACCATGGCTTGGCTTTGCCATTGGAAAGGGGGGACGGATTTGCTGAGCTGGGCACCGCCTGCCCCCCAGGGCTGGGGCCAGGACTCCCAGGAGGGGACTAGAGAGAGATCCTGCTCTGTGCTGGGGGGCTGGAATCCCACACTGTCTGCGGATGCCTTCACTTGGGGCTACAGCGCCTGCTTCTCTACTCCTGATTTACAGCAGGGAGCATGAGAAGACACGCAGCCCCATAGGTCAACGGCCTGGGGGGTTTGGTCACCCAGTTCCCATTCATTTAGCCCCGTGGCCATCATTTGCACCAGTGCAAACTGGGTGCACAGATCCGTCTAAGGTGCAGCTGCCCCAGTGCAAACCCATCGCAGATCATAGTTTACACCAGGATAAATTGCACTGGTGAAAACTGTGCCCTGTTGGGGTAAATTGTGTCCCACTAAGGGGTTAAAACCAGTGACTGGAATCCCAGTGGAGGCGAGGCCTGACGCCTGCTTCACATGGAGGTTAATGACAACACAAGGTGCATGGCAAAGGAGAGTCGAGGCCTGAAGCCCTAAGAGAGGTGTGAATTAACTACTCCCATTCATTGCAACCAGATGTTCACTCTGGAGGCTAATGATGGCAAGGTAGAGGTCAGCCTTACTTATTCACTGTGCACTGATCATTACAGCTGGCAAATCCAGTCATCTGAGATTGTCAGTGTAGTTTGGGATTGTATCTGGAACTTAAGTAGAGAGTCACCACCTTTTCCCCAGTTTGACCCCTCTTACTAGGAGACATGAAACAGCTTTAGGGACCAGAGCTTGCTGTCTTCAAACACTCACTGGGCTCGACTGCCTGTTGTCCACCTTGTCCAGTCACTTATACCGGTGCAAAGCAAGTGCAAAACACTCCTGAGTCAGGATGGGCCCCATTCACACTCACTTTGCACCACTATAAAAACAGCAGGACAATGGAGATTGGAGCCTATTAACTGCAATGGGAGCAAATTCTGACCTTTGAGACGCTGAAGTGGGAACTGGCTTGGGAGATCGAGATCCAGTCTTGTTAGTAGTTCTCACACTGTGGGGCACTGAAATTCCCCCGGGGGACAGACTCGCAGCCAGTTTTCCCTTGCCCTCATTGGAGAAGGGATGGGGTCATGACAAAGGACAAGGTTTATGCCTTCTGGAGTGGATCTAAGCAAGGAAATGCCCTCTTTCCCATCCATCTATGGGAACCTCCCACCCTTTGTTAGGTTCTGGACCCTGCAAGAAAGCTGCTGCTTTCTCATCTTTGTGGGGCCAGGGCTGGGGGCTGCCCCATGTCTTCCATTTTTGCAGCATGTTTGGTATTTCTTTTCAGGGCAGGAAAAGCTGGGAGCCCTGCGGCTGTGCAAGGAATGCCAGAGCTCACAGCGGGTCAAGCTCCCTTCCTTGTCTGCCTAGATCTGGGAGTTGCCGGGGGCATCACGCTCAGACGGCGCAGCAGCCCCTCGAGACAGGGCGCTTTTGTGGTATCAGCGGGGAGAGATGCAGCCGACAGACAAAAGGCCTGAAACGTTCCTGCTGTTGGCACGTCACCAATCCAGGCCATGGCTCAGGTAGAAGAAAAAGCAGACAGACACATGGGCTAGAGCCCAGGACTGTTGAGTAAGAGATGGAGCAGACAGATGGATGGAGGGGTGGACGGACATGAGTTCGGAGGCTCAAGATGTCCTGCATGTGGTTCAGGTAGCAGCTAGACAGATGGATGTAGGTTTGGTGGCTCAGATGACCAGTAGGAGATGTAGCAGAAACACGGACAGATGGATGTAGGCTCAGTGGCTCAGACTCCAGCAAGTTGTCAGGTAGGATATATGGTAAACGCATGGACAAACAGACAGACAGAGATGGTGGCTCACATGTCTGGCAGGATCTGTAGAGAAATACGGACAGACAGATGGACAATCGTTGGCTCAGACATCCAGATAGGAGATGCAGCAGACAGATGGACAGACGGACATGGGCTCGGTGGCTCAGATATCCAGCACGTGGTTCAGGGAGGAGATGCAGCAGACAGATGGACAGACGGACGTGTGCTCGGTGGCTCAGACGTCCAGCATGTGGTTCAGGTCAGAGATGTAGCAGACAGATGGACAGACGGCCGTGGGCTCGGTGGCTCAGACATCCAGCATGTGGTTCAGGTAGGAGATGTAGCAGTCAGACGGACAGACGGACGTGGGCTCGGTGGCTCAGATATCCAGCATGTGGTTCAGGTAGGAGATGCAGCAGACAGACGGACAGACGGCCGTGGGCTCGGTGGCTCAGACATCCAGCATGTGGTTCAGGGAGGAGATGCAGCAGACAGACGGACAGATGGATGTGGGCTCGGTGGCTCAGACGTCCAGCACGTGGTTCAGGTAGGAGATGTAGCAGACAGACGGACAGACGGACGCGGGCTCGGTGGCTCAGACGTCCAGCATGTGGTTCAGGTAGGAGATGTAGCAGACAGACGGACGCGGGCTCAGTGGCTCAGACGTCCAGCACATGGTTCAGATAGGAGATGTAGCAGACAGACGGACAGACGGGCGTGGGCTCGGTGGCTCAGACGTCCAGCACGTGGTTCAGGTAGGAGATGTAGCAGACAGACGGACAGACGGACGTGGGCTCGGTGGCTCAGACGTCCAGCACGTGGTTCAGGTAGGAGATGTAGCAGATGGCCAGCCTGAGGATCTCGATCTTGGAGAGCTTCTTGTCAGGGGGAAGGGTGGGCAGCAGCTTGCGCAGCTCGGCGAAGGCCATGTTGAAAGCCTCGACGCGGATGCGCTCCCGCGTGGCGTGGGCTGTCCGGTACTTAGCCGTGGCACGCCGCCGCCGCCGCCGCTCCTCTCGGCTCAGGTGCTGCAGGTCCTTTTTCAGAGCCTCGCCCGGCTCCGCTAGCCGGGACTGGGCACACAAGCTGATGCCGCCGGCCTCCTCCACTCCAGCCCCACGGCCACCGCCCCCACCACAGTCGCTAAAAACTGACTCTGTCTCTGAGTGAGACGGGGGCACGTCGATTTCCGTCTGGTCTGAATTGAGCATCATCTTTTCAAAGGATGGATGGATAGATAGACTGATGGGTGTGTATCGGGATAGATAGATAGATAGATAGATAGATAGATAGATAGATAGATAGAATGAATGAATTCCAAAATAAAATTGCACTGCTTCTAATATTTTGTTCTCTGGTTCACATCATCATCACTAAAAAAAAAAAATCCTTCCAAGGAAATTTCAAAGCTGATTACGCTCTCCAGGGAATGAGTCACACAATCAACAATCTTCCAAATAAATCATTTAAATAAATTTCCAATAAATATATAAATTAAATAAATAAATCTCTCCTCTCTGTGTGCGTGTAGATTGCTGGGTCCGTCTTCGGCACGCTTTGCGACGTGGTTTGCCTTCTACAGATGTCAGTCTCTGCAATTGCCTCCAAAGTGCTCTAGAAAACAGAAACAAAGGAGTTCTCACTAACTTTCTGCTCCCACTTAATAAACAGACAGAAAGACAGAAAGAAAGAGAGTTTATTTCATCTGTCCCTTTAGGACAAGCAAACAGTTCCAGTTACAAGCCAGCAAAGCACCCTGTCCCCGTGCAGAGAACGGACGCAGCTCGACCCATGCATGGCTGCCAGCAATGTGGGCAGTGGGCAGGGACTCAGGGGTTGCGGCAGCCCATGGCTGCAGGGAAAGGCCCAGAGGGGAGAGCCTGTGGAGAGGCTGTGGGACTAGATGGAAGCCGTTTCTCCTGGCTCTCTGGAGAGATGACAGGTGGTGGATTGGAGTGAGGGGGGAAAAGACAGACTGCGGGGCTGGGGGGGCTTATTGTATATTAAATGAGCCCGTATGTCATGGATTCTGGCACCCCAGACATATGGAACCCAACACAGCTGCTTTGCTTGACGTGTCCAAATGGAAGTTGGCTCCCTGCTCCCCCCGGGACTCCACGTGCAGGCCAGGAACACTGGCTCTCCATCTCCCCTCCCTCCGCTGCCTTCACAGCCCCGCTCTGCAGAGCCCATGCCACACAGAGATGCTTCCAAAGCAGGGACTGTGGGTCTGGGGAAAGGGCAGGCCGGGCCTGAGCCACCCCTCCCAACCAGGCTGGGACAGAACCAGGCAAGGGGCAGAGCCAAATGGGAAAGGGAAACAAAGTTTGGAGTGAGTGGAATGAAGAGGGGTTAGAAAGAAAGATCTCAGCGCTAGAGAGAGCTGTTACTGCTAGCAGAGACTGTAAACTGGATAGATAGACAGATAGCTAGCTACATGGGGTGGTTGGAGATAGATAGATAGATAGATAGATAGATAGATAGATAGATAGATAGATAATGTGTATAAAATATTATTCTTGTATAACATCTTTTGCACATGGCGAGATGCTTTTAAATTCTAACAAGCCATATGATTATAAGAAACTGAAACAGAATGGCGGAATGAACAGAATGGATAAACAGAGGCAATAAAATGAAAGAAATATTCTGAGTCGGACTTTAAAAGACTGACATGAACAGACACAGCCTCATGAATGTGTAGAAACGCACCCAGAGAAGGACATATGCAAACTCAGAGAGGGAAACTCACAGGCATATACACTCAAATTTGTACACACAAAAATAGCCTCCGAAATTCACACACAGATAAATTAACGCACACAAAACCCACACACATATGTACACAGTAATTCACCCACACGCTCACATACACACACAGAGTCACGCACATGAAAAACAGACACAGAATGCGAACACACACAAATTCATACACAAAAAACCACACACATATACACACACAGTAATTCGCCCACACACGTGCACACACACAGAGAGAAATAAATATACACAGCCAAACTCACACAAATGTACACAGAGATGCACACAGAGACACAAACACACACTTACATTGCAAAATGGGGAAACACCTGTCAAATACGTTCCCTAGAAATCTTGTACCAAATAAAATAAAAATCCAGAAAACCAATTATTTCGCTCACACGGCACATTTTAATTAAAAACAAATTAAAAGTTATTCTAGCGAAGGTCGAGGGTTCGGGGAGCAAAGATGGAGCCGTTTTTGGGTGGAACTGCTTTTCGGGCACTGCTTGTAGCTGGATCCAATGCCCCCTTGTCCCTCAAAGATCTGAGCTTTGCACCCTGAAGTGGTGTGTGTGAGGGGGGGAGGAATTGGGGGACCTTGGTCTGGGGAGAAGGAGCACACAGAACCCCTGCAATGGCGGGGGATTGGGGAGAGTTGCTGGGACTCCCTAGAATAGAGAGGGATGGGAGGGGGACACCCAGAGAGTTGGTGGGGTCGGGTGGGAGGGAACCAGTGAGCCCCGGGGCTGTGCAATGAGCTACAAAGTGTGCAACCCACTAGTAATTTACCCTCCTTGTGGCAAGGTCCAGAGACACCAGTTCAGGTGTCAATCAAGAAGGCCCCGATCCAGCCGAGCACTTAGGCATGTGTTTAAATTCTCTAAGTGTGTCTGTCTCCCGTCACCAGTGTGCGCTGTGTCTGTCTAATGTAATGTTTTCTCTTCCATTTCCCTACCCCGCCTCGTCTCTCTCTCTCTCTCCATTGCTCTCTCATTCCTGTTTTCTCAAGGATGTTCCCCGATCTCCCACTTCTAAGCCCGAGAGGGGAGACCAGGCCCCCTCTCTCCCCGCTTGGTCTTGGGAGCAGCGTGCTGGGAGAGCGAACAATAGTGAGGGAAAGTCTGCGTGCCGCAGGGGCAGCCGGGAGCGGCTTTTCTTTCCCGAGCGCTTGGGCACACATGGAGCGAGACACGGTCCCTGCCCCAAAGAGTTCACAATCCTGGCTCACAATTCCTGTCCAGGGAGAGCTGCAGCATCACCAAGCCATGGGAACCGGTAGTGCTTACATCCCTGGACCGCGCTTAGAAGGAGGTGGCTCTTCACGCTCCTGCCTCAGGCAAGGGCTGCGTTCCTTGCAGCCAGGTCTCTGCAGCCCCTGAGAGCTGCTGCCTGGCTTTGGTGGACTCACACTGGATTTGCACCCATAACCCTTGTCTGTCAAACCTACGGCTCTTTCTAACCATGCCCCACACTCCCCGGGACCATAGACTTTGATGCCCTGGGACTGCCCCACTGCTCGCTTAGCCCAGTTTGACACCAGCATCACTGTGCTGAAGACAACGGGCGGGATTCTCTGTCGCCCTGTGCCTTGCACCCCGTGCAAAGCGGGGGGCCCCAGTGCTCGCTCAGTGCTGGTGCGAGCGACTGCGCAAGGTGCACGGTGGTGATGAAGTGACACCGGTGTCAAACTGGAGTGAGGCTGCAACCAAGTCTGGCTCTGTTGCTCCTGCACAGGGGTGGACAGGTGAGGTCACAAATATGGACCAGGCAGTTCATTTGCTCTGGGGCAAGTGGGGCTTCCCCCCCGCCAGACTTTCCATAGGTCTAGATGCTGTACTGTTTCTCCCTCCCCCCCAACTTTGCAGGATATAATATAACCACATACAACGTTCCACACGCTGACACAACTCCCTCCCCTTCCACAATTTTATTTTTGTGACGATGTCCCTGACGCAGGCACAATCGCTTTAAACACCCAGCCCCAACCCCCTGGGAGGTGATTAATGAAAAAGGAGTGGCCAATAGGATCTGGGGTGGGGGCAGGGTACGCTACCTCCACCTCCCTGCCCCCACCCCAGAACAATCGCCAGCGACATTTCCAGGAGAACTGGCCGTGCCCTCACTTGCCAGCCGTTTGCATTGAAGACGCTAGATGGAATCAAGTTGACCGGGCCAGGTTCTGAGCGGGTGTAAATTGCCCTGGGGCAGTGGAATTATGCCCAATTACACCAGCCAAAGGTCTGGCCCTTTGTTATTACAGTGAGACGACTAGCAAGACAGGCCTCTGGGTGTGAACGTCAGGCAGGGACGATGATTGATACCCCTGGGGCTCAACGCAGGAGCCTTAATCAAGTCCTGACTCACGGGACTCCCAGGCTCACTCGCATGAGTACAGGTTGCAGAATTGGGTCTAAACAGCTTCCTTTCCCAGCTGCCTGCTTGTCTGAGCTACTCCATCCTGCAAGCCCCTGATGCTTGACACCCATGACTTTCCCTCTGGGGAGATTTTCACTTCTGCCCCCCCTGCAATAAATGCGAACTGAGTGTTCCGTCAATTTGGCCAGTGCAGAAGCCTGGGTTGAGAACCCCTCGCCCTGGGCAGCTGGACAGGAGCCAGCGGTCACATTCAATGGCCACTAAAATCTAAAACATAATTCTGAGCCAAAGGCCCTTTTCCCCCTTGCCTGAATTTCCCTGCGTAGCCCTTTCCCTGCCTCCAAGTGCGGTGTCCCCAAACGCGGCACGTGACTGCTGGTGAGCGGCACCACGACCCTGGGCAGCCGCAGCTGTGTATCTGGACTCAGGACACCCCTCCACCCCCAGCCCAGGAGTATGGGGTGTTTGGGTCTGAGGTTTCTTTTTTAGAGCCGTCACAACACCCAAAAAAAACCCCTCTCAATTTGACTTCTCCAAAGTTAAGTGAGTGTGCGTATACCAAAGGTTATATCAAAAGGCTAACAGAGGGTTGGGGAAATTCTCTGTCTTGAATATTGTAATACTTCTACATTTATATGGAATGATCTAATCTATCTATCTAACTATCCCCATACACCCCATCTATCTATCTATCTATCTATCTATCTATCTATCCCCATACACCTCCTCTATCTATCTATCCTCATACACCCCCTCTATCTATCTATCCTCATACACCCCCTCTATCTATCTATCTATCCCCATCCACCCCTCTATCTATCTATCTATCTATCTA